TCTAGGTTAATGGAAAATCTACACTGCTTTCGCCTGGCCTTCCAGCAGCTTCTACCCTCTTGTGACTGATGCGAACTCTCACACTTGGGGACATCGCTGTAAGTCTCCCATGTTAAACCAAGTGCTTTTTGTGGCTCGATCACTTTAAAAAACATTTTTCTGGATACTTTTAAGCATACTATTTGTTTTGAAACTGTCTCTTCCCAGGGCAGAGTTTCTGCTTAATGTTCTTATTGCTTGTGGCAAAGCCAAATCGACTGCAAATGGCTCCCCTGTGATGCTGCTTGTGCTGCTACCGCACAGGTTGTCATGGGGCTCGTTTCCCCTACTCACCTCCCAGCCACCAGTCCACCATGGGCCCAGCTCCCTTTATGTGTAGAATGGAGTCAGAAATACTTGGTATCAAGATCGAAAGCATCAAACCTTTATGCTCTCACCTCAGTGAAGAGAAGGGGATATTGAAGTACAGCAGGAGCACAACAAAGCAAATAACACAGTCACATAGGAGGCCAGTGTTGACCCCTGGCCTTGTACCTCTTCTCTGGCAGTGAGACGGAGTGAATTGAAGCAAGGACCCCTACAAGGTTGCAAGGAGAGCTTCCAGCTGCCACAACGGACAAGCAGTTTCCTTTCAGGTGGAATGGTAGAGTGTTTTGTCATCTTTCAATACACACACACACACACACACACACACACACACACACACACACAGAGCACATGCTGAAGGATAGAGCAGTGCTGAAACACCATAAAATATAGGCTAAGTGACTTCTTACCCACTACACATAAACAGAGATAGCCTGAACCTGACCCTGATAATGAGACCTTGCTAGAAGAGCAAAGAATATGGCAAGATAGCATGGTTGCAAAGGCCACACAGGAGCACAGCAGTGGAGGAGACTGCTGTGTCACTTTGGTGACTGATCTACAAATGATGGACATGTGAGGGTGATTTGTGTGCCCATGGTACACTTACCCAGGACCTTGGGGTGAATGCAGGATTCCACATAGCCTTTCCTTCAGCCCCAACTTTATCATAGCTGGCTCACTCACCACCTTTGAAACGTCTTTCATTTGTAGCTGATGTGCCTCCAAATTATTGGCATTCTGAATGTGAAAGTGTCCTTCCATTGAATTTATCTCATGCTGTCCTGCAGCTCTCATGGGAGTGGTCGTCCTCTCTGGAAAGATGGTAATGCTTGCCTACCTTCCCTAGGAGTTGTAGGAATTTAATAAGACTTCATGCCCAGCAGGATTGTGGAACCCAAAATGCTGTATAGACAGCTGCTTCTAATTATTGCCCTTAGTTATGGTTAGGAATCAGAAAATTAACAGAGGGAAAATACTATGTAGTAAACTCATGAATTAATTTAAATATACCCCATAATTTAATATTCACTCATTCACTGGATGTTTTTTGAGCATTTACTAAGTTTCCTGGCATATGTAATCCCTGGATGAACCCAGTGACCACCTTTAAAGTGCACTGATCTATGGAAAAGAAGAGAAGAAAAGGAATTGTAATGCCCCCATGAGATTTTCATGATTGATATGATACCGCATATGTGAACTCAGAGGGACACAGACCATCAGGTGAGAGGCATCAGGAAGTCATTGGAAGAGAAGGTTCCTGAGATGTGCAGGAGCTCGGAGGCTCAGAGGAAGAGGTCAGGAGTTGAGTATTCCAGGCAGAGGGGGCCACATGAACAAGTTAAGACAGAGAAAGGACAACTGTGGGAGGAACTCTAGTCTCCTCTAGATGGCAAAAGTGAGACAAACACATACCACATAGACACACACATACAGACACAGACATACATACACACATACACATACACACACACTTATACACACACACACACACACACACACACACACACGCACACAATTTGTGTGCCCATGATAGACCCACCCAAGACCTTGGGATGGACACAGGACTCCAAATGTCTACTTTCCTCCATATCAAAGCTGGCTTGCTCATCACCTCTGCAGCAGCTTCTCTTTCAAGGGACCTGGGTAACCGATGACACCCTGTAGGATCTTAAATACGTCCCACCCTCCCTGGAAGGCAGCATTTTTCCATGAGCTGCCCCCCAACTGTAAGCTTCTAGCCACGCCATTTCATTGTTTGCCTCTGACCCTGTCTCCACTCACAACCTCACTATCCCACAAACAAGCAGTTCTTGGAGTTCTCTTTCGTGTATTCAGATCTGGGGCTCTGGGAGCAGAACATAGATACCCTGATTCTAGCATGTGACTCTTGCCTTTCCACTGCCTTGTACTCCATTATTACAGCTGAAGTAGAGATGCCCTGGTTCTCAAGAGTGAGGTACACAGAAATACCAACTTAGTGCACCTTCCATGTAGAGCAGGGCCAGGGCCTGTTGCAGGTTATCTTAATGGTTGGTAACAAGACAAGAGAAATATGCATTATAAAACCTTGCAATCAGAGGCCACCTCAAAGGTATTTTGTTGTTGTTACTGTTTTTTTCTTCTGTCTGGCATCTTCTCCCCAGCACCCTCCATGTGACCAGAAGTGGAGCAGAGACTTGATGGTGGACCAGCTTTACTTCTTCTGTGTGTGTGCATGTGTGTGTGTGTGCGGGAGTCACAGTCTGAAGTCTCCAGGATTTGCCATCATTTCACAAAAATCTGGGAAAGACTGGTTTCTTCCTAAAAGAAACTTGACTTGGTTTCCCAGTATGCTCTTAGATTAGGTTCTAGGAATTGCTTGGGAAGGTATCTGAGGAAACTGCATCCAGGAAGTGGAAAGATGAGTCAGAAAGGGAGAGGGACATTTGCAGTTATGTGAAGGGGCATGAGGGTGCTGTGTCCAGGTCCCAGCCACCCGAGAACCTTTGCAAAATGATTTAGAACAAATCAGTGGCTAAACTGTCTCGCTTGAGTGTAGTGAGGCAGCAAGGCACCAGCTGTGCTGTATACCAGTGTTCTGTTTACCTTGGAGTCAGGGCTGCACCAGGTGTGTTAGCTAACTCTCAGCTGTATACCGGTGTCCTCTTCACCGTGGGGTCGAGTCTGAACCGGGTATGTTAGCTAACTCTCAGCATGGACAGTCACTCAGAACCTTTCTACTACCAGAAAATGGTCACAGGAGAGTTACAGCGGCTCTGAACAGGAGGCCATAGTAAACGGAAGTCATGAACACCCAGAGAAGTACTGTCAGTCTCTGCTCCACTTGTCAGATACCCATTCTCTCCTGTCCTTCATCAGTAAATCCCCCTACTCTGCTTTACCAGACAGATACTAAAAGGAAGCCTGACTCTGAGGAAAAACTGGAGTCAGTATTGACAAATGAGTAGGTGCGATTCCTATTTTATGGGAGCCTGTTATATAGACTTGTACTTCGCACACGCAGACCTTTTACTTTGTACAACTTCTCGAAGATTCCACCCCACCCCCCAAAGTCCAGTTCCAGTTCTCATTCTTCTGTTTTGTCCCATCCTCATTCAGCAGCAGGCGGTACCACCTCTACAGTAATGTCACTCTGTGGTTTCAGGCCACCCATGCCCGTCACACCTGTCACTGATCACTTCAGTTACGATCTCTAGCTGGGAGTGAGGAGACCAGCACTGAGCACGTAAGCATGGCAAGTTTGTGGCTGCAGCATGTGGCACATGACTCCAGGTCCATTAAGAGACCATGGCTAAAATATAAATATCCACCTCTGGTGTCCACGTGCATGTGTTTATACATGCATGCTTGAACATGAACATATTTACATATGATGTGGAATGTCCTTCTGTATGCTTCAAGTAAGTACTTCTTTTATTGGTTGATGAATATGCTGTTTTGGTCTATGATAGGACAAAATATAACTACATGGGAAATCCAAACAGAGATACAGAGAGAAGGAAGGTAGAGACGCCATGCAGCCTTCAAAGGAGTAAGATACCAGGACATTACCAGTAAGCTGCAGTCATGTGGAAATACATAGATTAATAAAATTGGGTTACTATAATTGTGAGAGGTAGCCAGTAATAAGCATGAGCCATTGGACAAACAATTATAATTAATATTAAGTCTCTGAGTGTTTATTTGGGAACTGGTGGGTGGGAAAGAAGCTTCCATATGCCTACATACACACTAAAGCTCAAGGTCATCTTTGCTAGATAGTAAGTTTGCGGCCAGTCTGATCTACCTAACACCTCTTTCTCAAACAGAAGGAAGGGCAGTCAGAATTCAATTTTACACTGTGTTCCTGTTGAAACGCATTTCCTCCCAGCTTTTCATTAGACAAATGACTTGTGTGAATGATTTGAGAGAAGTCGAAATGAAGCCAGAATTGTCAGTCAGGGTCCATGAAGAAAGACAGAGCATGCTGTCCTCTGAGACAAAGGCACAGTGGTGTCAGAACGTCTCTGAAGAAAAAAAGGTTTGGAGGCAGCAGAAAGAGAAGAGATTCAGAGATGTGTCTGCAGGACAATAAAATGGGGGTTTTATTTGTCTCCATTTGGAGTGATAGATGATCGACACGGTGATCAAAGGCAGCATTGCAGAGGAGAGGGAGAAGGCCATTCTCAGCAGCATCTATGCCGTTCAACCCAGACACCTGAGACTCAGCTGTTTCTGATAGCTCAAGGAGTCTCTGCCTAGGCAGCCAAATCCCCAAGTCTCTGCCTCTCCATCCACAGAACAAAGCCCAGGGCCTGGAAGAACCTATGAACCCAACAAGTTTTTATTGGCTTCCTTTATTTATAAGTCCAAAGTCAGGTTGGACATAACCGTTGATCACTGCTCCTAGGCCTGTGCTATCTAGAGAGGAGACAGAGCTATAGGACAGTGTGATAAAGGCCACAGGGACACAGTCTATGCACTGTGGGGTTGAGCGGGACCTTGACCCAGGTTGAGGCATCCATAAAGTTTCCTGGGAAGTTGCTCAAAGTCATAGTCTCTGGTATATTTTTGGGAAGGAGTTTTGGCCGATGAATGCAAAGGAATAAAGACTGTGGAGTGCCCACTGTAGAAACAACCAGGCTAGCTAAGGATAAAACAATTATATTTTATTTATTATAATGGGAAAACTCACGAAACAGGAAACGAGAAATCCAAGCACAGCAATGTCCAGCGGGAAAAGGCACAGAGCGAGCACACACAGAGGTGCACACCTTTTACCCTGGGTTCCAGTGAAGCCAGGCCTTATCTAAGACTCACCTCTAAAGATGGTTGCTAACAAGGTTCCCCATCAGTCCACGCTCAGACTGTCCTTTCCACTCCCTAGTCTGTTTGATTCTTGTTGCTTTTGACATATTTTGCCTCTCCAACTGGGGTTCTAAGCCTCTAGGCTGTGGAGACTGCAGGAGTGGGTGTGAGGGTAGGAGAATTAGAACTGTGCCAAGCAGAATCCTGGTCTAGGAGCACTGTGCCCTGGTCACTTGTCTCTCATGTCTGCCCTTCACTCTTGTGGGATTGGCAGCCACAACTGGGGAAAGGAAAAAGGAAGCAGAAAGGGGACGAGGCTAAGGAAATTGGGGAAACATGGTGTATTTGGGTAGTTTTAATAGAATTTTTGACTCATTTTCTTACTATGTGTCTAACCTGAATATATATCAATGAAGATTCTGGAGTATACCGAGGAAATGATGTTTTTGAGGTAGGGTTACAGGGTAGTGTAGCAGGAAGAGAGCTAGAGCTGGATACCCAGGGTGAGTCCTGCTGTGTGACCCTGGGGAGTCCTAGTGACCTCTCTAGTCCGCCATGTCTCCAGGTGTCAAGGGTTTTGGATGGATGTTCTTCACAAGCTTTTACTCTCTGCCTCTGTGGTCTCGAGTTAGCACAGCGAGATGGGAGGAGAGCCTGCCGCTGGTCTCGGGGCTTCACCAGGGTTTTTAATCACTTCAAATAATTCCTGGTCTATGGAGTCACGCAAAATAGCCCCAGAGAAAGATGTTGATGGCCAGCAGGATGATGCCATTGAGGTTGCAGACATGTCTCCAGAGCGGCTCCTCCTCGATGCTGGTCAGCTTCTGCTCCAATGCAGCCTTCTCTGCTGAGCTCAGGGCTTGCTGTGGAGTCCCAGAGAGTCCACAGAACCAGTTCCACAGCCATTTCCCCAAGGACCTATGTAAGGCTGAGTGACAGGCCATAATGAGAGAAGGTCGGGACAGGGAAGGAAGAAAGGATGGAGAAAGGGGAGGTTGGACAAGGGATAAAAGAGTGGGGAAAGTAAGACATGGAAGGAGTGGGGAACACATGGGGAGAACATTTTGTAAGGCTCTAAATAGGGTCTCTTGGGTGGGAACTTTGAGAACCAAATAGTCACTGCTCAGAAGCATCTTGTTACAGGAGACAGTGTTTTTGAGCTAGCTAGCATCATGCGTTCTCATTCAGAGCACCAGTGCAGAGTGGGGACAGAAAAAGAACCCATTTTTTTCCCCGAAAATGGGGAGCCTCTAAACCAGATGGGCTCGTTTCCCCAGCTATGGGGCCTGATATTGTACTAGAGGTCAGGAACCTGGTAGCAGGACCAGCTCTGCCCTCAGCCTTGCTGGACCTGGAGGGAGGGGGAGGAGCTTGAACTACCCACAGGGCAGGAGACCCTGACTGCTCTTGGGAATGGAGAGGGAGGAGGGGAGGGAGTGGGGGGAGTGGGAGGGTGTTGGGAGGAGGGGCGGAAATGGAGACTTTTGTATTTTAGTAAACTTTGAGGAAAAAAAAATCATCCACCTCTCCTTAGTAGCAGGCGCTTTCTCCCCCATCTGACTTAGGGACATCCCTGCCTTATTCTAAGAGTTCTTTATTCATCTAATGAGAATGGGGGTTTATAACACTACAAGGGCTACCAGGGCTGGTACTGGGAGAGGCTGTCTAAGTGAGCTCCAAATGCTTGGCTGTTTGAGGAATGTAGGCCTGGCCTGTCGCGTGAGGTCCGGAGCTTGGGTTCACACAGATCACAAAAGCTAAACTTGAAGGGGCTGCTTCTCCCCTGTCTCAAGGTTTCTTTGTTTCTGCAAGAAGGATCCGCTGCATGAGCAACTACCTTCCCTGGCCTCTCATTCCTCCACAGTGGTGTTTCGTCATGGGGTTGTGCTTGAGAGATAGGGGCTTTCTTTCTACTGGAATTTATGGATGACTCAGAGGACCATTTTTCTTTCTTAAATGTAGCTGTTCATAGGGAGCAGGCATTCCTTTGTATCAACAGGAACCGCTTTGCCCTGGACACAGGGACCAGCAAGGGGTCTGTCTGTCTTTGAAACAGGGGTCCAGTCACGGGCAGTCTCTCCTTTTCCCCAGACACCCTTTTCTCTCCGCCTTAATAGCTGCCTCACTTACACTACTGCTTGAAGAACGGTCTTTTCAGCTCATAAACTTTTTAGGAGCAGACTCGGTCTTTGCAGTGATGGAGACTTTGAGACCCACCCAAAATCAGGTGCATGGCTATAAAACATACATAAAAAATAAAGCTACGGTTTGTCAATCAATATACACTGAACCTCAGTGGGGTGACTGGTGAGGCCAGGGAGAGTGGCTTTGGCCTGGGATGCTTACGAAATGAGTATCTCTGTTTTTGACTGTGGTATCTGTAAGAGGGCATCTCTCCTCTACAGATTGCTCCACGGACCTCTGACTACCACTGTCTGGGCGAGGAGTATTGAGTCTTCAACCTTGATGGCTCTGGACCTCAAGGTATCATTAGCTACTGACAAGTGGCCATTTGTCTAGCATGAGGACCCCGAAGGAAGGAGAAAAGTCTCAGAAAGCAGGAGTTCCTTCAAGCCGAGGGACAGTGCAGGGCTCCAGACCCAGTGCATGCAGAAGAACTAGAACTAGCGGCAGAGCATCCGCAACTGCGCGGGTCCAGCCAGGGATGCTTTGCGAACAGGGTCTCTGTTTAACCTGCTGCAGTTACAGAAGTGGGCACTGTGGAAGCAGATACAGCACTCAGGCTTTCTGAAGTCTAATGGAAGTTTACCCAAGTCTATGTAGAGCTGCTTCAGAGAATCTCTCTAACTAAGGCTGGAAATAAATACAGAGCTTAAATTTTATCAAATTTCTACTTCATAAGGATAAGATAATTGATTTTTGACTTTAACTTGCAACTGATGTGACTTTTGGAATTTTAAATTTTTCTTTGGGGCTATTATAACAGAAAAAATTTCTATAATGTTGCCATTCTATCATTGGGGTGTCTTAATATTGTTACTTAATCTCACTACAGGAAGGTTATGACCTCATTATATTTTCCACTGGCACATTATGACTTCCACTTAATTATTGTGCTATCCCATACAGTTAACAACCCCTGGGAAGCCATCAGCTGCTCCAAGAACCTGGCAGAGAAGGGGCCATTTTTCTCAGGTCTTCCTATGACAACAACACAGGGTGTGGGCATGCTTTACGCTCTTCCCATGAGGGACAGTCAGGCTTCTGTGTGACTACAAACAGTATTATAGAGACAAGAGGGGAATAAGTACATAAATGGAGACAGGTACAAAGCTGGCTGCTTCTTTGTGATGCCTGAGGCTCCCTTCCATGTGGAGGGAACTCAAGAGGCGTAATGCTGTTTGGTTTTCCGCGCGTTCGATCTTTCAGGCTGCGTCATTGGCTAGATCTTCTGGCGAAAGGGTAGGCACCCCTGTCTAATGCTGGGTTTAGTCTTAGGAAGAGCACCCCTCCATGAATAGACTCTAAATCTAACCACCGCATGAGTTATCAAGATAACCTTTCTCCTCTGTCTTAACAGGTTTAGTAGTTGCCTAGGAAAGTGAAAGGATGGTTTTGATAGTGTTCTCTCAGAGTCCTACATCCTCAGTGACCCCAAAATTCATCCTGGGGGAATTCTCAGAGTTATGTTTGTCCCATTGTTCCTTTGTGACGTGTGCCCCAACATGCACCCCACGTACCTCCTGATTGATCAGACTCCTGGGTGCTGTTTGCTTCTTCCCCATCTCCTGCTGGGCCATCCACATCTGGCCTCTCGGCCAGCCCTGGGGTGTTTTCCCATTCTGTCTCATTCCTATTCACAGAAGCTTCCTTCTCCAGCTCAGGTAAGGGACAGTTCCTTGTCCACCAAGTCAGGCGAGCAAGCTAGGAAACAGGAGATGACATTTGAAGTCAGAAAACAGTCCTGCTGTGGAGAAGGAAGTCTCATTCATGGGAGGCCATCAGAACAATACAAAACAGGGTGAGGAGCAAGGCGAGGTTGCGAGGAGGACACCTTGGTTTCCTCTTTCTTCAAGTAGGGAGTCTTTCTTGAATAATCACTCTGTTAGCCCTAGGCTGGGTGCTGGAATTGAGATCTGAGTTGGGAATTCCCCAGCAACTTGAAACTCAACCCTAAAGAAACAAAATAGACAGGAAACAGGTGCCTGAACACCAAGGAAAGACTTCAAAAGTCCAGTGGAGGGGTTGGTAGCTGGCAAAACAAAACCCGAAAGGCAGTGAGGGCCATTGCAGACTTTAGACAAAGAGAAGGAACTGTAAGCTAGGATTTTCAAAGCTCAGTCGGAGTGATTTGAAGTGATCCAGCCCAGAAACTGTTGAAAAGTGAAACAAGAACTAATTGAAAGAAATATTAAGTGCCTGAGAAAACAGGAGGGCGAGGTCTATGCATTTATCTATGCATTTATTCCTTTCGCAGTGCTTGGAGCCAGACCTAGGCCTTACACATATTTACAATTAGCCACCCACCTATCTCTCCATCCCAGGAAGCAGCAGCCTCATGAGACATCAGGAGAGTAAAATGTATAGGCTGTGGTGACTTATGGAACAAGCAAGTGAAGAAGAGGAGAGACCGCCATGGCTCCTGGTTCCTGGCTCAGCTGATGACATTGATAATGGAACCCCTCCAAGGGAGAGAAGATACAAGGCAAGAGTGGGTTTGGGCTTTTGTGAAAGCAGAGGAGAGAAAAGGTGTGCAGAGACCCCCAGAAGCAGGAGGCCATGTCTGGACACAAGAAGAGCTAGCCTCACTTGCTCATCTGTGTGAGACCCTCTTGTCTGCAGGAGTCATAAGGCCATTTTACTAACTCACAGGCACCACACAGTGACTGCCATTCAATGTTTAGGGTCTAGTTTCTACCAGGCTCTGTCAGGGGTCACATTGTGTCCTATCAGAATTTCTATGTTGAAGTCTTCGCTCCCATATTTCAGATTTTAGCTACATACAGAGATAGGGTTATCAGAAAATAAGGCAAGATGGGATGAGATGGGCAAGCACTAAGAGATCAGGTCCCAGACAGAGGACAGACTCGGGAAGAAGATGGCTATCACCATGGAGATCGGGTCCCAGACGGACACAGAGGACAGACTCAGGGAGAAGACGACTATCACTATGGAGATTGGGTCCCAGATGGACACAGAGGACAGACTGGGGAGAAGATGGCTATCACCCTGGAGATCGGGTCCCAGACAGACACAGAGAACAGACTCAGGGAGAAGATGGCTATCACTAAGCTTTAAAAGAACCCTCAGATAAAAACAACCTGCTGGTCCTTGATCCCAGGCTTCCAGACTCCAGAAAGGTATGTGACATAGTCTTAATGTTTATGCCATCAAGTCAGTGCTAAGTGATTACGGTGGCTTTAGTAAGCAGAACAGGCTAAGGAGAAAGCCTTCAACAAACTGGGCATCAGTATTCAGAGGCTGGGGGGCAGTCGACTCTCTGACTCCTTCCTCATCATATCCTTCATTCTTACCATAAGAAAAATGCTATTTCTTCTAAGCCATCTCAGAGCAACATTGCCAATGTACCCACTCCTAGAGCCTTGGGCTTACCCTCTCTCCTTAAGCTAAGTTCTTCTATGCTTTCTCTTTGTGTAGTTACTAGCTTGTGTTGGCATCTGTTTTCCAGGTACAGTTGTTGGTAGGGGCCATTTATCTTTGTAAACCCAGCTCCACGCCTGACACCTAGTAGGTAGACAATGCATAACTTTGAGCTGAATGGGTCACTCCTCACCTGGAAATTCATACCCCAGCGAGCCTGTCCTCCAAAAGATACCTGCTTGGTAGTAGCTGAGACCATAATCCATATGATAAAACCCAGTGGGGGCACAGGGAGGGGGAGGTTGCTGGTCATTCGAGACAGAAGAATTGTTCCCAGAAGCCTCAGCCTGAACACACTACTTGCCTTTTCATCAGGGATGGGCTCTGTGTAGAGGCTGATTATGACAATGATGACAGCAGTAAGTCCACAGAGGAGGTGGGCAAAGTACAGGTAGTGGAAGTCCTTCAGAACAGCCGGTCTCCTGTCCGCCTCCCCACAGGCTGGGGCAGGGTATGAGAACTCCAGAGCCATGCGCACGATTCCCACTGCTAGGCCAAACATGAGGCCCCAGAAGGCACCCTAAGCAGAGAGTGGAGAACAGTAGGGAGAGACTGGGGTGAGGTAGGTCCAACCTAGGAAGTTGAGGGACACTCTTCCCTAACATTTCCCCCTACTGGATTATTTCAGGGAAAATTTCAGCCACCAAGTTCCCTATTGAAACTCCCTGTCTTGACTTAAAAGGCAGGCAGAGTGCTGTGCTGAGAGGGACATGAGATTCAGAGCTGCGCTAGAATTGAGATCATGGCTCCACGAGAATGGCTTGAGCCCATCAATGTGAGAACGCTGGCTGGGAGCTTCCTTATGTGCAGTGAACAGGGAGATTGGTTAGTACTGAGTACAAGTGCTCAGCACTAACCATCAAGCTTCCCATCCTGGCACATCTCCCTCCCTCCCATACCCCTCAGGATTCAGGGTAGTTACAGGACGACTGTGTAGACATCTCCCCATGAGTTCACAATGCATCGGCATCAGTGTCCTTGCTTTGCTCATGCACAGAAGGATACAGGGCTACAGGTGGAGCAGAGACCAAGAACCTCAGGCTGCTCGCTACTGTCACACATCTCTTTCTCTTATGTCCAGCATTCTCTTCCTCTACCACTGACTCTCAGGAACCATCTCACATGCCACTTCTTCCAGGAAGTCTGCCCCTCTCCTGGAAGTCTCTTCACTGGCTCTTTACTTTCCCAGAGGCCATTGTCCCTTGTCATTATTGTTAATTTAATCACATTTCTTCCCTGACTGCTCAAGATGGCAGACTTCTGTGAACCTTGTAAACTGTTACATCCTTGGAGATGTCATGTATGGGTTGGTAAGTGTTTCCTGTGCAAATGAGAGAATTTTGACCTGATGGTAAGAGTTAAAAACTTAGAGAAGGCAGTGACTTTGCTCAAGGTCTTAGAAACCAGATGAGTGAGAGACCCTTATCCCAGACCCTGTGATGTGTGGGGGAGGGGCAGGGCTGTTGCACTCACAGGCTCAGTGACCCTCTTGCTGAAGATGGCCAGCAGGAAGAGGGCCGTGATGGGTGGGGCGAGATAGCTGGTGATAGACTGGATGTAGTCAAAAAGCTGCCCACTGTTGGAGCTCTGGATGATGGGGATCCAGAGGATGCTGATGACTACCAGGAAGACTATGAACAACCTGTGGGAAGAGAATAGGGCTCTGTGAATACCACACACAGGAGTATGGGCAGGATGAAGAATGCATGGGAATCAGGAAGGGAGAGAAAGCGAGTGGTCCCTGGGCCAGAGAAGGTCTGTGGGTTAGAATCTCAAATGCTAAAAGGCAGAAATTACACTGTTAAAATCCCAGGAAATGGAACTTCAGAATTCAAGAAACCTTCATATTCATCCATTGGATGGGTTCAAGTTTGTTCTGTGCACCCACCGATGAGTGATAACCCATGCTTCCCCTAGCTCCCAGCCATGTACTGCAAAGTCCTGTTGAGGATGCCTTTATTCCTTTGTGCACTCAGTCCTGTGTAGAGCAATTTACTTCCAGTCTTACATTGGCCCTGAGTCTCTGCTTGTTCTCTTTACCTCCTCTCAGCTGATTCCCACTCAGGCCTAGCACTTTTGGTGCATGATTTTATAAATGCAAACAAAATAAAGTGACAACAACAACAACAAAAACCACATTGAACTTTTTTTGTATGGGCTGAATGCAGTAATGCATATGACCAGCAGATGGAGCCCAAATCACACAGATGGAGAACCATAGCCCTGTTGGTGAGCAGAAAGGAGGAATACTCCTAAATCCTTTCCTCTCCTCTCTTTTTACTTCCACCTGCCCTTTCTCAGGTCCCGTTAGAGCAGTAACTGCCCACCTGTCCTCTTGGATGCTCATCCCCTCTCCTGCCCTACTCCCAGATGCTGGGTCACTGTCTGGGTGTGTGCAGATGTGCAGGCCGTAGGACAGAAACAAAACGCCCCGGAATAGACAGTGAGTGCCAAGAGTGAGATGTCTAATCCCACATCTTTAACCACAAAAGAGACTGGAATGTCCTATTCAGCTTTGAAGCCAGGGCCTGGGAGGCTTGAGTTGTGAAGCTGAGATTTCAACCCTTTACCCTCATGTGAACTCTTAGTCTGTGGAGACTAAGAAAATTTACCACTAAGCTGTGCTTTTAAAAATATAAACTACTACATTCAAGGTGAAGTTCAACCTTCATTTCTTGATGTTCAAAGCTTGTGAGTCATTTGGAGATGACTTCTCTATGGACATCTCCCTCAAGATTATACTTCACTGTCTCTTGAAGTTCCCTCTTTGTTGTAAACTGGGGACACATGCATCTGTGTGTCCCCAGTTCAACAGTGTGGCAAATGAAGTATGTTCTAGGTATATCTGTCAGGTTAGTAGTATTCCTATTGTCCTGGGATAACAGCCAGAGATAGCCCAAAAGACTTCAGGGGGTGAGGCACTCCCCCACTTCCCCGTGATTAGTTAGGGCATTATTATCTCATAGTGAACTTGTTAGTTAAATAGGCAAGGATAGATTTCTTCCCATCCCCTGTTATTCTGAAGGGGGAGAGGTGACATAGTTCTGGGGATGGACTTAACACGGAACCCACTGTCTGACTGCAAGTAGACCTAGCTGATCTTCCCAAGAAGCAGGGATGGGAGAGGGGAGAGTTCTCCAGCGAGAGGGCGGTCTGGAAGCATAGTCAGCACACCTGCCTACCACCATCAGCTCTTGCTCAGTTGCCCGCCTGCGGAAGCGCTGCCACACGTCTATGGCAAACAGGGTGCTGCTGCTGTTGAAGATGGAGGTGAGTGAGCTCATCAGGGCAGCCATGATCACAGCGATCATCAGGCCTCGCAGACCTGGGGAGAGACAAGGCTGAGTGAAAAACTGTCCATTTAAGGGCTCTGCCAGGACGTTGGAGGTTGCAGCAGAATCACACAAAGCCAAGAATTTTGGGGTGGAGATGGGATGAGGTGGGTGCTAATGATGGTCCCATCTAGGATAGATACAGAATCCGGAAACCCACAGTGCCTGAGTCCAGATTCTGACCAGCCTCCGTCTCTGCACTTTGGACTTGGGTTGCCCATTAGGACTCTCCAAGCCTTGGTTGCCCTCTGTACACTACAAGATATGCATGAATCAAGATGATAAGAGGCTTCCTGATGTATATTTTGGTTCCATTGCCATGGAAGGTGGTGGATCCCTGGGACTAGGAGTAAGAGGGTGCTGGTAATGTATTTTAATTTTTATGATGAGTTTTCTGTACTTTTTAAAACAGCATTTCATACCACATTATGGTCATTACCTGAAGTTTCAGCCTCAGAGACAGAAACCTGGGCTGTTTCTGGCTGTGTGGGTAACTAGATAAATGTTCCTAGGACAAGTTTTCTCTACTTGAACCCATTTTTTTTTTCAGCCAAACACTGGACACTGGAAATATTAGATTGTATACTGATATTTGAAGTTTCTATCACTGATGGCCAAGCTTCTGGAAATGACCTTTCAGCACTGGGGAGATGACTCCCAGAAGTTCTGAATCATTTGTTTCCCTCTGGCTAATAACAGCTTTCTGATCTCCCCCACCTGACGTCATCATTACCCTAGACCCTTCTCTTAACTCTCCCCATTCCTCTGTTTCTAACTGCTTGGCTCTAGCTGGATCTTCACTCTCACTACTAGTTCTCTGACTGGCTGTAACCACTAAAGAGAAGCAATAACCACTCATCTATTGCCTTCCAGTTCCTGAACTCAATATCATTACAAACTCACCTTCTGAAAATCAAGAATTGGAGCTATAGTTGGGTCTCTGTCTTTATCGTCACTAATGATTATTGAGTCATCAAATCCTGCCCATCTTACTCCACAAACGTCTTCAAATGCCTTCTTTCATCTCTGAAGCCACTGCTCTGGTCAAGTCATCGGTGCCACTTATCTGGACCACTGCAGGACCCTCATTTATGTTTCCTCGACTTTCCCCTCCTGTTCTCTCTCCATACTGAATTCTTCAAGCACAGTGGTCTGTTGAAAGCACAAAGCTCCCTCCTGTCTGCAGTGACCACTTTGCTCTCAGAGAAAAGGCTGTCCTGCATGGGGTTTGGCCATGGCATTCCCATGGAAAGTTGTCTTCATTCATCCTTTCTTCTGATGATGCATTGCACGGTCTTTCCACCCTGGTCATTTGCACACACAGTATCTTCCTAAAATGGTGTTCCCCATGCTCTTGGTCTTTGACAAGGTGTTTCTTGTGACTCAACAGTACTTCTTTTCTTTGGATAATTTTTTTCTAACAGTCTCCAAGACTGGTCAATGCTTCCTTGGAGCTCTCCTGGTCACCATATCCTATACTCTCTAGGAGCCCAGGTATGGTCCCTAGAGACCAAAGAGAACTGGGATCAGAGAACTGTCTTTAAGAAATGTGTCTCCAATACTTGGAACACATAGCAAGTGCCTTAGGAAAGCTTGAGGAAGCATGTGTGTGTGTGTGTGTGTGTGTGTGTGTGTGTGTGTGTGTTTGTGTGTTCTGGCATGGAGCCAGAGGTGGGTCTTTCTCTTCTCTCTTTTCATCTATTTATAGTGCAGTCCCTCTTGGGCAGTGATCTTTTCCTTGAAGAAGGAACTGGGTGGTTGAAAGGGGTGGGAGCTAAGACTCACCCACAGGCATGAGTTCCATGACCAGCTTTGGGTAAGCAATGTTGGAGCATCCCACTCTGGCGCCACACACTCTTTGGCAGATGTCAGGGTCTACGCAGCCAACTTCATCTGCAAAAGAAGAGAGCTGTATGATGCTGTGCCTCCTTAGGTTGCCCTCCTATTTGCTTTATGGTGCTATGGGAATATGTTCTGGAGACTTCAACTTAGTCTAGAAGGTGAAATTACAAGGGGCCTGACCACCTACAAACATGTTGTGCATGAACTACACTTCAGAGATTGTTTGAGTTCTTTGAAAAAAACAAATATCTTTGGGAAGATCCAATAATGTCTTGTTTCTTCTCCATATAAAGGGGAAAAATTTAAAATGACCTCCAAGTGCAGATTTCTTCTACTCCAGTACAAAGTCCAAAATGCTTCCTGTGTTCCCTTAATTGAGAAATCCTCTGGTTCACCTGTCCCAGGAAAGCCTTCTCTGAAAATGCTCTGCAAACCCCACAATGCACAGAGACCTGTACTAGCTCTTACCTGGGTACAGAGCCCGGCTGATCATGCCAGGCATGACAATGAAGAACATTGGGAAGATCTTTAGGTAGCCGCCCAGCACTGAGCCCCCCTTGGCATGGGAAAGATTCTTGGCAGAGAGAGACCTCTGTACAATCACCTGAAATAATGTGAGATATGCAAAAATAGCAGTGGAGATATATCACTGGTCAGAGAAGGACTTAGTTCAGTGCAGGAGAGCCCAGCACTGGTCACTGTTTGTCTCCACTCAGTCCCAGGATGATGTCCAACCCCTATGTACCCAACTGCCTGCTTGTCTGTTTGTTTGTTTTCAGGACGCACCTGATGGGCCAGGCCAGGCTGGGGAACATTACCTGGTCTGTGCACCAACACCAGGTGGCCAGGACTGTGAGCCCAAAAATGAGACCTGGCCAAGGAATGTCCCCATTCACAGGGTCACGGAGCATGTGAAAGGCATCGGACCGTGGGAGGTGACAGGTGGTGTTGGGAACTGTGGCATTGGGAATGGCCTGCATATATAGTTGCTGCAGGCCTGGGTACCAGCCCACCTCCTTAAAGCCTGTGGGAAGAGACATGGTGTGAGAAATGGATCTGGAGTCCTCACCGATAGCCTCAGGTGAGACTCTGGGTTTGAACTGACTTGAGAACTGGGAAAGGGTGAGGATGCTGGGTCTTGGGTTAAGGTTCTTGGTTTGGAATAGAGAGAATGCTGACTTTAGAGAGGTCTGGCCTAGGAAAGGGGTCTGGCCTTATGCTATAGAAAGTTCTAGGGGTCAAGGCTAGGGTACATTTAGACCTCTTTCTTACCCAGGAACATGAGGACTAGAGCGCCCCCTACCATGATCACAGTCTGTAGAGCATCTGTGTAGATCACAGCAGTGAGTCCTCCTGGGTACCCAAGGAGAGGATATATCAGTCAGCATCCATGGGAAGTTTCCCTCTGGGTACCTGCCCTGTCCTTGGCTACACTGGAGGGAGATCAGAGAAGACACAGAGCTCTCTTAGCAGGGAACCCTGATGACAGATCCTTCTCCATCTCTTCTCTCTATCCCACCCAGGGACTAGGCTGGCTGGTTACTGACCAGTGTGTTCTGATGTATTTCTTTCTATCCAGGGCAGGATCTGGTCATTACACTATCAACAGTGTGGTGTTCTTGCCGTTAATACCCCCAAGCTCTCTGCTTTCTCTTTCAAAGTCCACCTAGATGTCTCACATCATTCAAAGACAACTTAGTCATAAGTAGTTCTGTCCTGGGCTGTTGTCCCAGGGTACCCAGTTCTACGAATCAAAGGAAACAGAGTAGAATGGGTTCTTGGTTTTGTCATGGTGACTATGGCCTAGACAGCAGTTCATTGATTTCCCCCCTTGTCCTCACACAACAGACCTCAGCAGGACTACATGTCTCTCTCATTACATGCCTTTGCCAAGTATATTTTTCATCTCTGCTTCTCCACTCCCTTTTCTCTCCTGCTGTGATTCCATCTCCCTCTGTGTGCTCTCTCATAGCATATCTCTGTCTTCATTAGTTTGTCTCTGTCTCTCCATATCTTACTGTCTCTCTCTGGATCACCAGTCTTCTGCCCGTCTCTTTCTATCTTCATCTTTCCATCCTTCAATATCTTTCTAGTGAACACTCCCTCCTCATCTCACGGTCTCCACATATCAACATTGCCTTTCCCTTTTCCTACCTGCAATGGTGTAGACAGCTGTCACCAGTAGCAAGATCACCGTGGAGAGATAGAGGTTCCAGCCTAAGGACATCTGGATGAAGATGGCTCCAGAGAAGATATCAGTCTGTAGAAAGCAAGGACCCAACATTCCATGCTACACAATACTTTCAGGATGGTTGTTGTGGGTGTGTCACCCACCTTATCTGGTGTCCTCAGCCTTCATCAAACAATGCACACAAGGTTGAAGAGCCATGCTGGTGGGTTTGGTCTTGGAATTAAAGTGCCACATTATGGAATGTGGGCTTAACCTTGCAGACTTGGAGGCATGGTAGAATTTAGAGTGAAACAATACTGAATAATGTTTTGAATAAAAAGATAAATAATCAGCTAGCTTTGAAAGATTTGTCTGTAGATTATGAATGTCAGGATACAAAATCAAAGTGGGAGATGGAGAAAGTAAGGCTAGAAGCTAGAGGTAGAGAAGAGGACATTTGGGGAGAGAGAATAGGAACTGTGCAGGTTATTGACTGCTCGACAAGATGACACAGGTCTATAGGGCTACCTGGGAAGGCAGCCGTGAGTTCTGGATGATCCCTATGCTTGGGTTATTATGGGACTTGGGGTAAGGACAGTCTCAGCTAACAATGTCTGTCCTCAAATTAATTTCACTACTATATCCAGCACCTGGTTGATTCTGTTCACTTCAGTCTATTCCTCAGTCCATTACATGATTGTTCATAAACTGATGACAGAATCTAAAATATGATAGTGGGAGGACCTAACCCTCTCAGGGCATGGGAGTCAAGATTCAGTTCTGATTCCAGACCTAGTCCTTTGTGTAGACTTGGATAATTCACTTGACAGGCCTAGGTTTGTTTTTTAAGTTTAGTTCAATAAAGCAACAGTAAAGATTATTCAGACTCTAACGTTCCAGGTGATTAATAAAGAATTGTCCAATAAAGTATCAGTTAATGGAAATGTGATAGAGTGGACTCTAGTTTGATAGTTCATTTGTGTGAAAGATCAATATTCACTTAAAACATTTCTTATTCAAGTGTGATTTCCCCACTTCTGGATGGAGACAGTCTCTGAAGTCAGGTTGATTCATCTTTTCTTTCTTTTATCCTTCATTCCATCAACAACCCTTTCGTTGTATCTCCTCTCCCATCCCTCCTTCTCCCCTTCTTTCTCCCCATCCCTCCCCACCATCAGTGAGCTCAGCATGTTATCCTTGGTAAGAAGCCACCTGCAGTCATACCCACCGAAATCTTGGTGAAGATGTAGAGGATGAGAGACAGGACTGACATGTACACCTGGATCCTCTGCCCTCCGAATCGTTTCTTCAGGTACTGTGGCATGGTGACCACACCTGCTGCAATGTATACAGGGACGAAGATCCAACCCAGGGCCATGAGCAGCCACGTTGCCTGGGAGAACATAGGGAAGCTATTTTAGTTGTAGAAAGTTTGTCAGCTTCCCGCCCATAGGTAGCATGTTGGATGGGAGAGCCCTGATGGGGGAAATGAGAGACCTGGGTTCTCCTACCAGCTTTTCTGGATAACCCCAAATGAGTTCTTTTTCCTTTAAAAGGCCTAAATTTCACCATCTATATAATGGGTACTCTGTTTACCACACAACCTCCCAAGTACCTCTAAGATATCTTTCTTCTCTAAGGCCAGGCACAGGAGATGGTTCTGACCCTCAACACCCTGGAGCCCTCAGGTCAGCTTCCTTACATTCCACTCGAAGCCACCCACAGCAAGACCTCCAGCAGCCCCTGTTCCGGCCAGGCCGATGAATAAACCACTGCCCACATTGCTGGACATCAAAGATGCTCCAATCTGCAAGGCACAAGTGAGGTTAAGGGGCAAGGGTCAAAGTTAGTTTGGAGCAATCTGGGCTTAGGACCACTTACAGTTAAAAGGCAGCTAGAGGCTGTGAGTTTTGAGGCACTGGCTAGAGAGAACCTTTCCAAGGGTTTTCCTTTCTCCCCACAAGGGAGTGGCTGAAAACATCAGGCATTTCTCATTATCCCTGCGAACTTCTGGGTTCCAGACTCAAACATCCTCGGGTAGTTATCATGTTAAACAGACACAGGTTTCCCTGTCCTTAGATCTTCCTGCTCCAGATAGCCAAATCTTTCAGACACCCAAAGGCTGTCAGGGTTTTCTCTTCTCCTTAGAGAGCAGAGGGTGAGCAGTGGTGGACAAGGACAGTGAGCATCACCAAAATGGAAGGTCAAAAATGACTGCCATTATGAGTGTGAGAGTAACCGAGTGAAGGAGTGAGGGAGTGAGAAGGCAAGGGTGTGCAGGAATCTTTAAGTGTAAGGCTATGTGAATGAATGTATGAAAGTAAGTGGGAGCATACATGTATGCACATGTGTGAGGATATGTGAATGCTGGCCTGTATGAATGTATGTATATGACTGCCTTAGTGTGTGGGGGGTATGACTGGGAGAAGGAGAGAGCATGTGAGCATATGAATGTGCATGTGAGAATTTGTGTGTGTGCGTTTGATGTGACTCGGTTTTTAGGTAGACCTTGTCTCCCTTCATCCTACTTTGGGAAGAGAAGTTAGTTTTCAGGGATCAGGAGAAATATAGGGTATGGCCCAATGGGAGAAATGCTTGGGATCAATTTCTGGATATGGCTGGGAGTTCGCCCCTGATTCTCAAGTCAATATAGTTCAGAATTAGGTGTAGGTGTCATTCTTTCAAGAAAATGATTTCTACCTCTTATCCACCTATTGTCTGAGACCCAGCAACTTCACCAACCTATGGGAAACACAGTGCCTCCTTCTACCCCAGGTTTGACTATATTATTCATAAGTCTGTGTGCCCACTCAACTGTGAGCTTCTCTATAGCAGGAAGCTCCACATATATCTCAATAGATCCAAGGCCCTACCTATGGTCCACACCTGAAGACAGAGCAGGGGGATGGAACTCTCCCTGGGTATGAAATATCAGATTGGATACCAGGTTGAGCACTGCAGGTGTTGATATTTGTTTCTGAGGTCTTTTAATTTTGTTTTTGTTTCCTGTGAATGAGTGAAACTTCAGAGAGAGCAGGGAGAAACTGCTCTACCCTTTGATTGACAGTTAACAAATCCTTCCCTGAAGCCTGGATGCCACGATCAGCTTACTAGCAGCTCCCATTGGATGAATGGCTAGACTGTTGTCATGGCATCCCAGCTGCTTCAAATTTCTCAATGATCCATTGAGGAGACTACACTCCAGCTTCAGAGAAACGCTGCAATTGTGACGTCACAGAAGTCACAGAGGGCTGCTTTGGGAGGCTGTGCTCCTGTCATGACACTTCAGAAAACGTACACCGGATGGGGAGATTACTCTTCGGGCTTTATTATCTTCAGTGGATAACAGATGACTCTACTCATCCATTAGCTACTCATGTAACACAGGAGGGCGAGCAACTCCCCAAGGCCACAGAGAAAGTCTGTGATTGGTGCAGTGTGAGGCTTGTGATTGGTCCTTATTTAGGGGGTGTGATTAGTGGAATTAGAAACTAGAGGCACACCGGGCTGTGATTGGTCAAATTATATTTTGAGTGTAAGTGTGCTTCCATTCTTTTCTGACCACATACATATACATACATACATACATACATACATACACACATACACATATATCCATATGTGTATGTATGTGTGCATATATACATATATATACACACAAATATAAAATATCAATTTGCTTAGGAGGCTTCTCTTCGGTGTATTCCCCCAAACTCCCTGCTGCATCTCGGTGTTAAAACATTTTGCCTAAATAGTTGTTTTTCTCATGAGGGATTATTCATCGCAAGTAGAACGTCTTGGTTTAGTTGCATGAAGAACAGATATTAGATCACAGGGCGTAACAACTGTAGTAGTAAGGAGGCAGCTAAGAGTTCCAGAGACCTGCTGAGAGCTAATAAGCCTGTTATCCAAAGCTCTGATACACAACACTAGGCTGAAAATTTATTATTATTATTATTATTATTATTATTATTGGTCAGAAACTGCAAGAAGCTTATTATGAAAATCTGGATGGTAGCTAAGAGTATAGGTCTGTAAATCTGGATCACTGAAAAAGTTTGAGTGAGACAGCGAGGGTTAAAAAGTTGAAGGCCTCATTATCTAAAGCTAAATTCATTTAGGCCCTGGGTGTTAGAGCTCCAAGCTCAGAGCAACAACCCCTGCCCTCAACACCCAGAACAATAACTCTCTGGTCCTAAAAGCTGGGGCCATGAGACTCCAGTTCTAGTTCAGAGCTGTAAGCTTCTGTTTGGAATCCCAGCTTATAAACCTCTAGAACTGAGTGTTATCAACACTATGCCCTTTCCTCTGCCCACCTCTGGTTTCTGTATAGATAGAGCAAAAGAGCCCAAGACAGCCATCTATGACATGCACAGGAGGCATCCAGGGTAGATGGCGCAGGCTGCCGGGTGGGTAGTTGCAAGAAAGGAATCTAGAGTTGGGCAAAAAAGTAGGAGGGTGTTGATGTAGTTCTGGCAAGAAAATCTAAGAGGAGGTCATAGATGGCCAAAGCTGGGAATATATGCTGGGAGAGGAGGGAGGAGGATCAACTCACTGGCCACCAGGTCATGGATCTTCCAGCCAGGAAATAGCCACCAATGGTCCCTCGGCTTGCACGGACAGACGACTAGAAAGAATATGTAAAGATGTCAGTACTTCCCAAGCCTCTTACAGTCCCCACCTTCCACTCCATGATTAATTGCCCCCTTGGTACAGGCACCTTGGTGACAGAGATGACAGGAACTGAGGCACGGCAGGGTTGTCTGTATACTTATGGCATCACCGTTTTATAAACTATGGGTCTGTGGGAGTCACGCCCTTTTTGTCAATTTTGCTCTCCTTCTAGTTTTCAGGACTGATGGAAAAACAAAGGAGGCAAAGGCTGTCCAAGGTCTTCAGGAATAGCAGAATGTCGTGAAAACATTCTGGAATGTGATTAGTGCCTCCTTATTTTCCATCTGTTGGTGACTTCTTCCAAGGGGTGGGCTGGAATCTGTCTCTGGCACATAGTGACTCTTCCCCGGGCTAGCCTCTTCTTTTTCCTCAGACAGACACCCACATGGGACCGGGTACTGTTCTAGCCATTCTGAACACTGGCCGGAATGAAGAACTCTATTTGGGACATGCATTGATAAGGCCTAAAGTCAGAACACACCACTGAGCCCATTGAGGATTCTGGAAGGATCCAGTAGGTGACCAGTCCATGGCCTGTTTTGGGGTGTGCTCTGAAGGGTGAGGAGACACGAGGAGTGTAAGCTCTTTCTCTGGGGACATAAGCCCAATCTTCTTGGTCAAGATGCTAACAGGACTGCAGTGATAGCTGAGCTTTCTCCACCTTTGTGCTATTGATGTGGAGAAGAGGGCGTAAGTTAGGCTCAGGGTGGCTAGGGGTGGTTCGGCAGGGCAGGATGAGAGTCTGTGGTGTGGGCTGATAGTGGCAAAGAGTGTACTGAAATTTGTGTTTGAAAGATTCCAAAGCCTCGTGTGTTAAATACTTAGTCCCCAGTGCATTGTCAGACATGTGATTTTTAGGAAGTGTTTGGATTGTGAAGCTTCTGACCCAGTCAATATATTAGCCCCTTTGATAGATTAAAAATTGAACGGGATATTGTGAAACAGTAGAAAGTATGGAAATGAGCCCTGGTTAGAGCAAATGGGCCATGGAGGATTTGTCTTGCCACCAACATCTTCCCCTCTCTGTCTGTTTCCCAGCATCTACGAGGTGATAAAACCCCCTCTGTTACAGGCTCCTGTTGCCTTCTCACTCATCCATTGTAATGGAGTCAGCTGACCATGGTCTGAGCTCTAAAGCCTGAGGCCTAAATACATCTTTATTTCTCTAAGTTAATTAACAAAGCATCACAAGAGAAAGCTGACAGAGGAGAGGAAGTTACTTCTGAGTGGGAAACAACAAGTCTGACCAGATCTGAGAAAAGAGAAATCCTTGAAGTAGAGGAAGGAAAAGCAAAAGGTGTTTTGTCACTGGGGAGTGATGCATGCATATACAGGGCCTGATGTGTGTCAAGTTTTGGCTAGAACATTCTTGTGTCACCTTCGATCATCTTGGTGGCAACAGTAGCAGTGAAAATTCCTTTCACAGGTGATCAATTGAGCCACAGGAGCAGAAAAGGATTTGTCCAACATACACAGGAATTAGAGTTCCCATGCTGGACGCGTCACAGGGACTGTTGGGCTTCTGTTTGCCCACTGCTTCCTCAAACCAAGCCTGGAAAGTGAGGCCTAGCACCCCCCTCCCCTCACAGAAGAGAGGCCCGAGGTCCATAGGTGTTCTGATCAGCTGAGACTTGAGGGATAATGTACCTCGCAGCAATCTGAAGGGACTGGCCTCTCAGCAGAGTCCTGTCTTGATAAGAGCTACTGTCTATTATCTGCTACCTGCATGCCGGGCACTGTGCCAGGTGCTTGTGTGTGCCCTGTCACTGAGTGATTGTATCTTTCAATAATATTAGCAGCAAACACACAGGGAAACTAAGTGGTTTCTATGTCCCTAGGGCCACATGGCCCTAACCACTAGGGTAAGATCTGGGCTCAGGACTTCCTGACCTCAAAGCCTTGCAGCTGCCCACAGCTGTGTGGTTTCTTTGACTTATAGGAACACTGGAATCTGGAAGGCGCTATTGCCTGAGAGCGTGTGAGTCTGAGCTCTTTGTTCAATACACTAGTAGGAGAGGAAGGCTGGGTGTTGCGCCTACTCTGAGTTCTGAGTCCTGAGGGAAAGGAGAGGAGAGCCAGACTCACAGTGACTAAATGGACTGAACTCAGAGCTCCTGGCTCGATCTGCCTCTGGCTCACTGTGTATTGCTCAGGCAGGCCACAGGCCTCTCTGGCCCCAGTCAACCTTCTCCAGAAAGACAGGATGGGAATGGGTGATTCCTGATGTACCACAGTTTCAGCTTCCTACTGTTGTGTATTCCTCCTTTTTTCTTTTCTCCCTGCTCCTCTCCCAGCTCAGGATGAGAGGCTTCTCTGCCTCTCTGTCAGGCTTCAGCATTTTGTAGTTCTCACTCACCCAGATTCCCACAGCAAGGACGAAGACAAAGTAGATGACCACCACCACGATGTCATAGGCATGCAGGCCGACGCCAGAGCCCAGGGCCGAGTGTGGCGCTGTCTCAGCACTGACTGCATCCACTGAATCTCCAGGCTCCATTGTTGCTAGCTCCTTGCTCATCTGTTACTGTCGTTCCCAGCAGGCTGGACTTTGATGTCCTCCTGGTCTTGTTCCTTCCCTTTAATGATTAAACAAACCCAAGTCTCATTAGCATCTGAGAAAGTGAGGAGTCCAGCTGGCAGGTGAGGTCCCGCCCACTTTTCTCCCAACCGCAGTGCCTTCCCTTGTGTTACTTCTTCCTGCCTCCCTCCCTCTCTTTGCCTGCTGCCATTGTATATATCTGCATGCAACATGAATCTGCATGCCTGTATGGGGATGTATGCATGCATGCATGCGCACGCACACACACACACTTTTGAAACCAAGGTGCTTAAACAGCTGCTCTGCGGAAAAACTGAGTAAAGTGAATACGGAGCTGCCGCTGGAGTTCAGTCATCAGCTTAATACAACTTTCCTTTACCCAAAAAGAGTGAGAGGAGGGAAGACAGGAAGAGTCTGTGATCATCCCTGTAAAGCCACTGCTGCCCCATATGCCCTCACCTCCAGCCCCCCAAGGTTCCTTGTTTTACAGTGGAAGAAACTGAGACCCGGGACAATAGCTAAAGTTTTCTTGCAAAGAGCAGGATCATTTGTGTCCTGGCAGGCCAAATTTCCATCTTCTGATGCTCAATCCACACTTCCCATCCTGTGCTATGACAGATGAAATGCATGAGGTCAAGGTCTAGCTGGAAAAAGGTAGAGTTTTTTTAAGACCTGGTTTCTGGTCCCCACCTTGTCTTTTACTACCCTTCTGATAACTTTCGGCAAGTTGTCTCTGAGTTTAAACATCCTTCTTCTCAACAGGCCCTGTGTCCTGCCTGCCTCACTGTATCAAGGAGATTAGAAAGTGCTGCCCAGATTCTTTGCAAACTCTGGACTATTTGGCCGTCAATGCTAACACAGATTTATTAGTACCAGCCACCACCTAGCTAACAGACCCAGATGCCAGGCACAAGGCATGCCTGTTAGTACCATCCTGGAAGGCCTACATTTGCATCTTTCAATCTGTAAGTCTTATGTTTTTGTCCATATACAGGTCAGTCTCAGGTTGGAGTGGATAAAGAGATCCCATTGACCATGCATCTCCATCTCAGCCACAATCTCCTCTCTTTTCATTGGGGGACAAAGAAAGTAAAAAGCAGAGCTGTGGATTTCTTTCGGCTTGGCCCTCTTGCTCAGAACAACAGGTATAGGGCATCTGGAGCCACAGGAATTGGAAGTGGATCTACCAGGGTAGCCAATTGGAATTGGGTATAGCAGAGTATAACATCCATTTGGATTAGGGGCCAGAAGGACAGAGAGGCACATTTGTAACAAAAGTGTCTTTCACATGCATCTACATGTAATAGGTGTTTATCAAGCAAATGAGATGGGTAAGGAACTCAGCTATTGTTAGCAACATCATAGAAATGTGAAAGACAGGCCCTGGTGTGTGCTTTGTGGAGGGGCAGTGGGAAATGTAGCTTGCAGTTGCATGGATGTTGTTAGGGAGGGACAGAGGCTGGATGTGAGCTCAGCTCACTGAGGATGACTTAGGGCTGCCTATGGCTCATTCCTTCAGAGAAGGGTGAGGGAATAACAGAAAGTAGAGAGCTGAGTCTGGAATGTTCCACCATACCTACTCAGAAAGGCCATCTGGACCCTCAGGGCTCTGCTGCCTATGTATTCTACACCATTTTCCCAGCTGCCTCCTCCTAAGTACTGGATGCTGTGCCCAACCCCTGCTTGTTGTTCTAATCCTAAACCAACAGGTTTGGCCACACAATATCAAAGCTGGCAGAACAAGGCAACCAACTCTGCACTGTTGCAGCCATGGAGCTGACGTGTCTTTGGTGTCACACTGAGGGACCCTACACCCAGAGACATCCTCAGGAAGGAGCCAGCCTTATGCCTATTCTAGGTTCTCCGGTCAAACCTTCTCAGGCGAGCCCTGCTCCAGTCAGAACTTCTGTGCCAAGGGCTCTGTAGAGATATTTAATTTGTGTTTTAACAGGCAAGGCTTGCCTAACCACCCAGAAGCCAGCTCCAGAGAGGGCGGGATGCGCAGGGAAGAGAAGGTTGCCTGATAAATAAAGACTGAATTGTTAAATAGTTTGAGACACTTGGAATTGCAATTTCTGAGTACTTGAGGCTATACCTTCAAACTTAAAATGTCAGAATTTCCATGCAATTATAACCAGAAAATGGCCTGGACTTTAATTTAGGAATGTGGAAAGAATGTTCCACTGAGCAACCAGCTGAAGAAAATGCTCTTAGGATCATTTTCCTGAGTCCAGCCTATTTTACCCACAGTTCACAGAATGTGGAAGATCAGACCCATATGCCCAACATCTTGGCCTCCCTGGGCTCTAGGTGGGATCTTCATTGAAAACTGTGTAGTTCTTCTCGGATCCTGGCTTGTAGATCCCCTAGCTTCTCAGCCTTATCGTTCCTGGTCCCCAGCTACCATGTGGGTCCTCTGGGATAGCTCGTGTCTCCCACAGTCTTAGCATTACCTGTTGTGTCTGTCATGTTCTTACCGCTTTGGTCATTTTGCAGCATGCAGATGGACAGGTGGCCCTGCCAGCTGTCACAGGGCACTGTCCTGTGGGGTTCTCCTTTCCCCACAGCCCTCAGAAGTGGGGTCATGACCCTTCCTTGCTGTTTCCTTGCTACTAGGTTGCAAGATGGCGGGTCGGGGTGGGAGGGGAGGGGGGAGGGGTTGACTCTGGTATGCAGCATGCTGGCTCTCCTCTCCAGGTCTTTGTGCATGCTATATCCTCCACCATCATCTTTCTTCTGAAACCTTCTCGGCTCCCATCCTGGGAACATCCTGAACTCCAGGACACCCCTGCCTAGCTCTCCAAATGCATTTGCCGATTTGCAGCCTTAGACCCGAGTTCTAAGAGTTTTTGTCTTGGTTTTTATTCATGTCTCCCACTGACGGGAGCAAAGTCATTGAGGGGAGGTAGTGACATTGTCATTTGAGGCCAGTGAGGGTGACAGAGGAGGCCATGGGCCAAGGTGGAGAGGAGAGGTCCTGGCTACTTTCATGAGCAGGGTGTGTGCTAACCTGCGTGGATATTTTCCTTAGGGTCTTCCCCACCACCTGCAAGTCCTTCCCCTTCCTTTGTCCCTAGTGCTGTTTGTGTGGAACAGACTCGGTTTTGATTCAGCCCTAAGGACTGACCCTGCTTCCAGGAAAGGTCTTGTGGGAAGTTTTGACCAGGTGAGGGAATTACTAGTAGGGAAGCTTTGAGCACATGGCATCAGATGCTTGAGCATATAGATTACTAATAAGCCTTTCCCTTTTCTATATGCCATAGAATCAAATCACTCTGTTTCAGGAAAGGGAAGGCCCTTTCATCCAGCTTTCTACAAATTTCCTATCTCCTTCCAGCATTCCTTTCCTTAGTAATTCTGGGAAGGCTTTGTGTACCTCCTACTGGCCTGCACCCAGACTGCTTGCAAGTCTTTCCTGTAAAACCACTCTTTGCCAGGCTTCTTCTGACAACTTCCTCATCCACAACAATGAAGGGTAGAATCTTTAGGACGCCTATGGTACTGGGTCACTCCCATCACAAGCAGTGACATATGAGCATCTCAGTTGGCTTTATTATTCCTACTTTAAGTTAAAGAAAGAATCTATTAGTTAACTTCTGGGGTTTGTTTGGGTTTTTAATTTGGGCTCAAATGACTCTAAAAGTGCCTAGCACCATTGTCCCTTCTCTCCTAGTCCCATGTTGACAGAGAGAGAGAGAGAGAGAGAGAGAGAGAGAGAAAGACAGAGAGACAGAGAGAGACAGAGACAGAGACAGAGACAGAGACAGAGACAGAGACAGAGAGGACAGTTGGAGCACCAAGCAGGGTGCAAAGGCAGTTCAACTGGGTACAGCCCCCCCATCCTGAGTCTGGGTTTTAACCACATGCCAGTGAATATCACTGCACTCTCACCCTTCCTCCCCATTGGCTTTTCCATTCTCAGACCTCAATGCCTAGGGATGCTGGTTTTCTATGCCTGTGCTCAGTTCAGTACAAATGCAGAGCCCATTCACCCACTAGCACACTGTGCCAGGGCCAGGTCTGGCTTATCCATGAACAAACCAGAGGCACTACACTACCCCTAAGAGTGCAACACCAGCAGCACCTCACTGTAGAACAAGGCTCACTCACAAGGGTGGAGGGAGAGGCAAATCTGGACCCTGACAAGGAAACCATATGGTTTGTGAGGCCAAAGTGGGTACCCACTTCTTTATAGGTCCCTCCCTCCAGCTACCGAAGGCCAAGGATTCGGAAGTCTGCTGTCCATATGGTACCTGAGGAAGATGCTTAATTCTAAGAGGAAAGGAGAAATACATAGACGTGTATGTCTGGCAACATAATACCGGGGATGGAGAAAAGTGGAGAAAGGGAGGGAGGGAGACTTACATTCTAATCACCAAAAACATACCTGCACAGCCTGGCCTCATCAAAACCTCCTGGGCTCAGTGTCTGTACCTCAGGCTCCTCAGTGACATAAGACTGGGAAGGAGCCTGACTCCTCCCCCAGAGGGTGGCAGGCAAGGCCCTGAAATCTCACTCCAGTTCTTAGGCCTTGGGTTCTGAGGGACAGTGTCTGCTCTTGTGGCAAGGTGTGATCCTGGAGTACAGAAAACAGTTTGTCTGGATTCAGAGTAGCTCAGGCCCCCAGGAGGGGCAGGAAGGGAGACCCAGCTCAGTATAAGCTCTGTCACTGCGGCTGGGGTCACAACCTTCTCTCACACAGGGCAAACAGGTTTTACAAGGCAGGATTAGAGTTTCAGTTTCCAGAAGAACAAATTCTGGCCTCTTAGGTATATCAGGACATTGATCATATCATACTGTATTCGTAAAACACGATAAGAAAGTACAGCTGGGGAGTTCTCACCTCATGCTTCAAATGTGAACTTGCTGGAGCCAATCGTTTTACAACGTAAAATTACAACTGTTAAATGAAGACATCAAACCATCACACAATGTACAATTTCTGTTTGTTAACTATATTTTAAGAAGACTGGAGAAACTAAAATGAAATTCTCTCCTGCTCGCCGCAACACACGAGGAATTGACAGCTGGAAGCCAACAGGGGAAAT